ATTACATAAAACCAGAATTTTAAAGATTCAATTTTAAAAAATCAGATTAAAAGTTTCACTTTTCAAAAATCAGATATTTTATTTTAAATATTAATTGTATAATTTTCATCACAAATCCTAATCAATTTCATTCCAATTTTCCTCATCCTTCTCCCTTCTTTACTTTACTATCTCCTCTTACCGTCACTCTATCTTCTCACTGTCTCTACCTTTTCTCTTTTCCACTCTCCACCCTCTTCCCTCTCCACCAGCAACCCAACCTCCACGAGACGGAGGGAGCAACTCTGCTTGACGGTGATGCTTGTGTGATGCTTCCGTAGCTGGCGTCATGAGGGGGTTATGGAGGCAGAGGTCACGATGGATACTATGTCCGCTATGAGGGAGGTTCCTCTACCATAAACTCATCTTTCCGCCGTCACCACGCCCACCATCGCAAGCATCACTGGTGATGATGGAAGGCCACTTCTATAGTCTCCAGTCGCTCGATGTTGCTATTATCTGTTGAGGATAAGTGGTAGGGGCTTGTTCGATTGGTCTATTGTGATGTTGGATGTTTCGATCGGCCGATCAAGATGTTGAATGTTTCAATTGGCTGTGGGAATTGATGTTGTTGATCATAGTTTTAAGTCGGCAGGTAGGAAACTTTGTGGATAAAAAGGTTAAGGCTAATTGATTGATTGTGCTGTTGATTTGAGGGGTCGGAGCTGCAGATCTCTGGTCTGCGATTGTGGCGTTGTGGGTATGGTTATGGTGATGTGTGTTGTGGATGTGATGACGTGTACGGTGTTGTGGTTGGGTGCAGTACTGTGTGTGGTGGTTGTGTACATTGGTTGCATAGTGATATGTGTTGTAGGTGTGGTGTGCTATGTATGGTGGTGCGGTGGTGGCTCGGCATTGTGCAGTGGTGCTGACTGGTTGTTGTGAGGTAGTAGTGTTGACAAGTTGTCGTGAGGTGGTGCTGTTTTTATGCGATGTGTTTATTTGTTTGAGATGATGTTGCTGTTGAGAGGTGGTGGTGGTGGTTCTGGCAGCGGCGGTGGTGCTGATGGTAGTTGTAAGGTGGTGGTCACAAGTGTTGGTTGTGGTCACAGATTATTTGGTTGTTTGTGATAATAAATTGATTAATATATGACCGATAAACAATATTCTACCAATAAAAAAGATAAATTGTGATCCAAAAATAATATGTGACCTAAAAAATTGTTAATTTGTGACCGATAATTTGACAATTTGTGATTATCTATTAAGTTGTGACTTATAATATTTGTAATTTGTAATCGATGAATAAGTTGTGATGTATAAATATTTTTTATTTGTGACCGATGAACAAATTGTGACATCTAAAATTTGTGATTTGTGACAAACTAATAATATATGACCAATTATATAGAATTTGTGATCAAATTATATGAAATTGTGGCCTTAATATATTTAATTAATAAAATATATGTTTAATTAGTTTATTTATAAATAAAATTTAAAAAAATTTGATATTTGAAATTTTAAACCTTAAAAAATTAGAGATTTGAAATTTTAAACTTAGTTTCTTAAATTTGAAATTGATAAAACTAAA